CATTTATCTGGCTCTGTTCCTGTTCTAGTTTTTTTTTTTTTTGGCTTAGTTTTTGTTTTTGTTCTCTAGGTTCAATTGTTGATAGTTGTGAGTTTGTTGTCATTTTACTGTTCATAGATTTTGATCTTCTTCTATTTCTTGGATAAGTCCCCATTCATACAAAAAAGACTTGGTAATGATAAACTCCTTTAACTTTACCTTATCTGGGAAACAGTTTATACTCCCTTCCATTGTAAATGATAGCTTTGCTGGATAAAGTAATCTTAGATGTAGGTCCTTGCCTTCCATGACTTCAAATACTTTCCAGGCCCTTCTTCCCTGCAAGGTTTCCTTTGAAAAATCAGCTGATAGGTTCATAGGCACTCCTCTGTAGATAACTCTCTTCTTTCCTCTTGCTGCTATTAAGATTCTCTCTTTATCTTTAATCTTGAGTAACCTAATGATGATGTGCCTTAGTGTATTACTCCTTAGGTACAATTTCTTTGGGACTTTTTAGGCATCCTGGACTTCCTGAAAGTCTTTTTCCTTTACCAGGTTGGGGGATATTTCCTTCATTACTTGTTCAAATAAGTTTTCAACTTCTTGCTCTTGCTCTTCTCCTTCAGCACTGCCATAATTCTGATATTAGAGTGCTTAAAGATGTTCCAGATGTTCCTAAGCCTCTCCTAATTTTTTTGAATTCTTGTTTTGTTCATTCTGTTCATTTAGAAGTTTAGTACTTCCTTTTGTTCCAAATTGTTGATTTGAGCCCCAGTGTCCTTTCTTTTACTGTTGGTTCCCTGTATATTTTGCTGTAGTTCATTTGGTGTAGCCTTCATTTCTTCCTTCATTTTGTGACTGAGCTCAATCACTTCTGTGAGCATCCTGATTACCAGTGTTTGAACTTTACATCAGATAGGTTGGCTACCTCCTTTTTGCTTAGCTGTTTTTCTGGAGTTTTGGTCTGTGCTTTCATTTGAGCCATATTTCTTTGTCTCAGCACACCTGTTATGTTGTAAAGGCGTGGAGCCTTAGGTATTCACCAGGCCAAGGCAACCCTTTTTGCTGTTTCATGGTGCTGTATGTGCGTGAGGGGTCAGAGAGGGAACAATGCTGCTTGCTTAGTCTGCTATAGCCCTATTTTCCAATGAACTCTCTCATGTGGTACTGGAAGTTTCTTCCACCATGGCAATCCCTGAAGTAGTTTACAGCTAGCTTTGAGTTTTTAGTTTCCCATTGAGCCAGCCCCACCTCACCTGCATGGTCTGCCACCTTTCTGGGAGTTCTCTCAGTCAGCCCTGCCCCACCTGTGTGGCCTGCTACCTTGCTGTGCATCCTGTTCACTCAGCTGCCCATCTCCCATCTCTATCCCTCCTACCAGTCTGGATGAATGTTTCTTCTTTAACTTTTTGGTTATTAGAGTTTTATACAGTTTGATTTTCTAAAATTTCGGGGGGGGGTTGTTTTTAAATTTGTTGTTTTCTGTCTTTTGGTTGTTCATGAAGGCAAAGTGTAGGTACCTACAATTTTATATTGGCTGGAAGTTCAGGCTAATATTTCTGATGAGCATAGATCCTAAAATCTTCAACAAAATATTGGCAAACTGGGTGCAGCAATTCATTAAAATGACCACACATCATGATCAAGTGCGGTTTATTCCAGGGTTTCAAGAATTGTGCACTATTTGTGAATTAATAAAAATAATATATCACATAAACAAAATAAAGGAAAAACCTCATAATCATATATATATTCTAAAAAAGTTGATAAAATCTAGCACCATTTTATGATAAAAGTACTCTGCAAAGTGGGAATACAGGAAAATTACCTGAATATAATAAATGTCATGTAACAAAAACCTAGTGCCAACCTCATACTCAATGGGTAAAAATAAAAAACATTTCCCTCAAGCTCAATAACAAGAAAAGCATGTCTACTTTCACCACACTTTTTCAATTTAACTATGATATAGTTTGTCTATCAGAGTTTGTTAACTATGATAAACATAGTTATCAAACAAAAAGAAAAAAGAAAAGATACCCAAATTGGAAAGGAGGAAGTAAATACTCCATCATTTTCAGATAACATGATAATGTACATAGAAAACCTTACAGATTACATCAGAAAGCTACTCAACCGTATTAATTAATTAATTCAGCAAAGCAGCAAGATATAAAGTAGGTATTTGGAAATTGATGGCATTTTTATACACAATGAACTACCAGAAATATATACTATAAAAAGTGCACTTGTTATAGCAATAAGAAAGTGTCTAGGATTAAATTTAACCAAGGAATGAAATGGCTAGTATTCAGAAAACTATAGAACACTGAAAAAAAAAAACGGAGGAAGATACAAATAAATGAAAGCATATATCAAGCTGGTGGATTGGAAGAATTAATATTATTAAAATGTCCATAGTATCCAAATATTCATTGCAATTCTTATTAAAATAACAATGACATATTTCACAGACCAAAACAAACATTCCAAAAATTTACATGGAACCAAAAAAGACCCCAAATAGCCTCAGCAATCTTAAGAAAGAAGACAGATCACAATATCTAAAATGAAAAAATAGTAAAAGCCACTGTAATGAATACAGCCTGGTAATTGCATTAGAAGAGACACATAGATCAGTACAACATAATAGAGAACCTAAAAATAAGCCCATGTGTCTATTGGTCAGTTAATATTTGACAAAAAGGGCATGTGTATATAATGCAGTAAAAATAGTCTTTTTGGTGTTGGGACAACTGGATTGGTACACACAAAAAAATTTTAATAAACCACCAACTCACCATATAAACTCAAAATGGATAAAATACATTTATAGAAATAGTGTTACTGCAAAAATCCTAGCAGAAAACATACACAGTCAAATCTCATATATCTCACACAGTAAGATATATTTTTGCAGCTATATTTCCTAGGGCAAGTAAAAGAAAAAATAAACAAATGGGACTACATCAAATTGAAAAGCTTCTGCACTGTAAAGAAAGCCTAAATTTCACAAATTTTATGGAAATATTTTAATAAATTAGAGGAACTCATGGAAAATAAAAGAAATCAACATCAAAATGAAAAGAGAACAGACTGTATGAGAGGGTACATTTGCCACTGATACCTCAGTCAAGGGTTTCATCTCCAAAATATATAAAGAATTCATGTGTCTCAACATCAGGAAAAAAACATTCTAATTAAAAATGGGCAAAGGCTGTAAATAGAAACTTCTCCAAGGACACACAGATGGCCCACAGAGATATTTTTTAAAAAGCTCAAAATCACCAGCCATCAAAAAACTTCAGGTTAAAACCACAATAATATACAACTTCACGCTTGCCAAGATGGCTAACATTAATAAATAAACAAACAATAAGTATAGGCAATGATGTGGAGAAAAAGAAACCCTAGTTCATTGTTAGTGAGAATTCAGACCAGTGTAGACACATTGAAAAAAAAGCATTTAATTTCCTCAAAAAGAAATAAAAATGAAACTGTCTTGCTAAATAAAATAGGGGAAAGTCAACTATCAGATAGTGAGTTCAAAACAACAAATGTTGGAAACGTTGTGGGGAAAAGGGGTCCTTAGGTCACTGTTGGGGGGATTGCATGCTGGTGCAACCATTATGGAAAACAGTATGGAATTTTTCTCAGAAAAATAAAAATCGACCTGCCTTTTGACCCAGCAATTCCACTGCTAGGATTATATCCTAAGAATCCTAAAACATCAATTTTAAAGAACCTATGCACCACAATGTTCATAGCAGCACAATTTACAATAGCCAAGAGTTGGAAGCAACCTAGGTGCCCATCAGTAAATGAATGGATCAAAAAATTGTGGTACATATACACAATGGAATTCTATGCTGCAGAGAGAAAGAAGGAGCTACTCCACTTTGCAACAACATGGATGGAGCTGGAAAGCATTATGCTGAAATAGGCCAGGTGTTGAAAGACAAATACCATATAATCTCACCTTTAACAGGGAGCTAAACAACAAAACAAACAAGCAAGCAGAATAAAAACAAAGACACTGAAATAGAGAACAAGGGGACAGTGATCAGAGGAGAGAGGGAAGGGAATTTAAGGGGAAATAGGGGGAGGGATTTGGAGGAACATATAGGAAGGACACAGGGATGAGAACTAAGGGGGGTGGAAATGGGAGGGAGGTGAGGAGCACGGGGTGGTGGGGGGCTGGGATGGGAGAAATAGACAAAAACTGTACTTGAAAAATAACTAAATAAAATTAAAAAAATAAAAAAGAAATAAAAAAGAAAATCAAATTAAAAAAAAACAATGGTTAGAAAGAAGCTCAATGAACTCACTGAGAATTACCAAAAACTACAGAGAAACTACAAGGAACTTACCACAAACTATATCAGCATTAAAAAAAAACCTTAAAAAATCAACAAGGGCAAGAGAAAATGAAGATTATAATTTTTGAATTAAAGAACAAATTAGAAGGAATCAAAAGCAGGTTCAATGAAGAAAAGGATCAAATCAGTGAGATGGAGGATAATGTATTAAAAAATTCCAAAAAGAGCAAGAAAAAAAAGATTCAAAGAGAAGAAAAAGGGGTTAAGGAAAATGCAGGACAACCTAAAATGGAATACTATCCATAAAATAGGGATTGCAAAAAAGAATAAGATAGTAAGCAATAGAAAACCTGTTTGAAAAAGTAGTGATGGAAAACTTTGCTAATTACATGACAGAAAAAGTCACACAAAGCAAGCCGCACAGAGGGTCCCAATCAAGAGAAACCCAAAGAGGCCTACTCCAAGGCATATCATAATTAAAATAGGAAGTTTTGAAAACAAAGAGAAAATACTAAATGCAGCAAGAGATAAACAGGAGCTACCATACAAGGGAGCCCTGGTAGGATTAGCAGCTGATTTCTCAACAGAAACATTATAAGACAGAAGAAAATGGCTAAAATACTCCAGGTAATGAAAAGCAAAGGTCTGTACCTGAGACTACTCTATTCAGCAAAGGTCTCAATAAAAATAGAAGATGCGAGCTTGCTTACCCAGCACATATATTAAAATTATAATGATACAGAGAAGATTAGGATGGTCCCTGAACAAGGATGACACACCAATTTGTGAAGCATTTCATATTTTTAGACAAAGAACCAATCCCCAAATAAAAAAAAAGGCAAAAGCCTCAAAAAAATGTTAGATAAAATAGAGACAAATCAGCTATCAGATATTACATTCAAAGCACTGCTTATCAGGAAGTTCAAAGAGCTCACAATGAGCTACAAGAAACTACAGGGGAACTACAATTAACTCATTGCAAACTATATCAACATGAAGAAGTAAATAGAAACTATTGACAAGGGCCAAGAAAAAGTGAAGAATACAATGTCTGAACTTAACAACACAGTGTAAGGAATCAAAAGCAGGATCAATGAAACAGAAGATGGGATCAGTGAGTTGAAGGAAAAACTAGAAAATAACACCCAGAAACAGCAAGAAAAAAAAAAGAGGCTCAGAAAGAGTGAAGAAGGATTAAGAGAAATGCAAGACAATATGAAATGTAATAATATCTGAATAATAGGGATACCAGAAAGAGTAGAAGAAGAGCAAGGAATAGAAAACCTATTTGAAAGAGTAATTATATAAAACTTCCCTAATTTGATGAGAGAAAAAGTCACACAAATCCAGGAAACACAGACAGTGCCAATCAAGACGAACCCAAAGAGGCCCACTTCAGGACACATCATCATTAAAATGAAGAAATGCCAAGACAATCAAATAATCTTAAAGACAGAAAGAGAGAAAAAGGAAATAACATACAAGGGAGCCCCAATAAGGTTAGCAACTGATTTCTCAATGGAAATGCTCCAAGAAAGAAGATAATGGTAAGAAATATATCAAATAATGAGAACCAGAGGCCTGCAACAAAGGCTACTATACCCAGCAAGACTCTCAATGAAAACAGAAGACCAAATAAGGAGCTTTTCACACAAAAGAAGTCTAAAAGAATACACCTCCACCAAAACAGCTCTGAAAGGCATGCTACAGGGCCTGCTTTAATAAAAGAAAGGTAAAGACAGAAAGTGAGAAAGGAACACAGGTACAAAAATGGCAATGAATAAGTATGTATCAATAAAAACCTTAAAGATAAATGGATTAAATGTTTCAATCAAAATACATGAAGTAGCTGGATGGATAAGAAAGCATGACCCACACATATGTTGCCTACAAGAGACTCACCTCAGGACCTACACAGATTATAAGTGAAAGGCTGGAAAAAATTTTCTAAGCAAATGGAGGTGGAAAAAAAAAGCAATACTCATATCAGAAATATGGACTTTTAAAAAAGGCCATAAAGAGACACCCAGAAGGTCACTTTATTATACTCAAGGGAAGAATCGACCAAGAAGGCATAAACATTGTAAATATATATCCACCAAACATAAGAGAGCCCAAATTCATAAAGAAAATTTTAGAGGACTTCAAGAAAGATATTGACAGCAACACAATTATAGTAGGAGATTTTCACACCCCACTGTCAAAAATGGACATATTTTCCAAACAAAATATCAACAAAGATATTGTGGCATTGAACAGCGACTTAGATAAAATAAACTTAACTGATATTTATAGAGCCCTTAAATCCAAAGAAGCTTAATACACATTCTTTTCAAATGCACGTGGAACACTTTCAAAGATAGACCACAAGGTAGGATGCAAAACAAGCCTCACATATTTAAGAAAATTGAAAGCATACCAAGCATTTTGTCTGACCACAGAGGCTAAAACTAGAAATGAACACCAAGGGAAAAAACCCAAAACACTCAAAATCATGAAGAATTAACAGCATAGTATTAAACAACAAATGAGTCAAGAATGAAATTAGGGAGGAAATCAAAAAGTATCTGGAAAGAAATGAAAATGAACTCATGACAACCCAAAACTAATAGGACACAGCAAAGGCAGTTCTGAGAGGGAAGTTCATAGCAATACAGGCCTATATGAAAAAGATAGAAACATTTTGAACAAACATAACCCTACATCTACAGGAACTTCAGGAACAAAAATAAAGACAGCCCAGACAAAGTAGAAGGAAGGAAATAACCAAGATCAGAGCAGAATTAAATGACACACAGACTAAAAGCACAATTCTAAGAATCAATGAATCAAGAAGCTGGTGTTTTAAAAAGATAAACAAAATAGACAAACTTTTAAGCAGGTTCATCAAGAAAATAAGAGAGGACCCAAATAAACACAGTCAGAAATGAAAGAGGAGAGATTACAACTGACACTACAGAAATACAAAGGATTGTAAGAAATTACTTTCAATAACTGTATGCCAAGAAATTTGAAAAACTAGGTGAAATGGACAAATTTATAGAAAAATATAATCTTCCAAAACTCAGTGAAGAAGCAGAAAGCCTGAACAGACTAACAGTAGATGAAATTGAAGCAGTAAGCAAAAACTCCCGACACACAAAGGCCCTGGACCAGATTGTTTCCAAAGAGAATTTTGCAAAGCATTTAAGGAAGAGCTAACCCTAATCTTTCATGGACTATTCCAAAAAATTCAAAATGATGGAAGAATCACAAACTTTTTTTATGAAGCCAGCATCATCCTGATCCCCAAAACAGATAAAGATACAACAAAGAAAAAACTTCAGGCCAATGTAACTGATGAACATAGATGCTAAAATCCTCAAGAAAATATTAGCAAACTTCATCCAACAATACATTAAACAGTTCATATACCATGACCAAGTGGTATTCATCCCAGGGATGCAAGGATGGTTCAACATTCACAAATCACTAAATGTAATATATCACATAAGCAAAGGCAAAGACAAAAAACACATAATCATATCAATAGATGCAGAAAAATCTTTTGATAAGGTACACCACCCACTTATGATAAAAAAAAAAAACTTAGCAAAGTGGGAATAAAGACACCATTCCTCCACATAATAAAGGCCATATATGAGAGTCCTACAGCCAACATCATACTTAATGGGCAAAAACTAAAATCTTTTTCACTAAGATAAGGAAGAAGACAAGGTTGTCCACTTTCAACACTTCTATTCACTATAGTATTGGAAGTTTTAGCCACAGCAATCAGGCAAGAAAAGGGAATAAAAGGCATCCAAACTGGAAAGGAGAAAACAAAACTGTCTCTGTTTGCAGATGACATGATAGTGTACATGGAAAATCCTATAGACTCTACCCAAAAACTGCCCAACCTAATTAAGTGAATTTGGCAAAACAGCAGGATACAAAGTCCATATCCAGAAATCAAAGACATTTTTGTATACCAACAATGAAACAGCAGAAACAGAAATCAAGAAAAAAATCCCATTCAATATAGCAAAAAAATAAAATAAAATAAAATACCTAGGAATAAACCTAACCAAGGAGGCAAAAGACCTGTATGCAGAAAACCACACCACACTGAAGAAAAAAATCAAGGAAAACACAAACAAATGGAAACATATACATGTTTCCAATCCAGTGTTCATGGATTGGAAGAATTAACATCATCAAAACATTCATACTATCCAAAGCAATTTAGTTACAATGCAATACCTATTAAAGTACCAATGGCATATTTCACAGACATAGAACAAACACTTCAAAAATTTATATGGAACCATAAATGACCCCGAATAGCAGCTGATATTTTGAGAAAGAACAAGGTAGGAGGGATCACAATACCTGATACAAAACTTATTACAAGGCCACTATAATCAAAACAGCCTGGTACTGGCATAAAAACAGGCACATAGACCAATGGAACAGAACAGAGAGCCCAGAAATAAACCCAAGTCTTTATGGTCAATTAATATTTGACAAAGGGGGCAGCAACATAAAATGAACTAAAAAATAGCCTCTTCAGCAAATGGTGTTAGGAGAACTAGACAGCTATGTGCAAAAAAATAAAAATTGTACACCAACTTACACCATACACCAAAATGAATTCAAGGTGGATAAAAGATGTAAATATAAGCTGGGACATCTAAAGTCCTAGAGGAGAACATAGGCAGGAGAATCTCAGATATTTCAAGCAGCAGCATTTTTACATATTTTACTGATATGTCCCCTAGAGCAAGGGAAATAAAGGAAAGAATAAACAAATGGGATCTTATCAAAATAAGAAGCTTCTGCATGGCTAAAGAAAACAATATTAAAACAAAAAGAGAACCAACTGTACGGGAAAAATTTTTTGCCAATGATACCTCAGTCAACTGTTTAATTTCCAAAATATACAAAGAACTTACACAACTCCACTCTAAGACAAGTAACCCAATTAAAAGTGGGCAAAGGACTTGAACAGACACTTCTCCAAAAAGGACATACAGAGGATCCAGAGATGCATGAAAAGATGTTTAATACTCAGCTATCTGAGAGATACAAGGGAAAACCACAATGAGATACCACTTCAAACCAGTCAGAATCACCATCATAAACAAAGCAATAAATAACAAGTGTTGGAGACCTTGTGGAGAAAAGGGGACCCTAGTTCACTGTTTATGGGACTGCAGACTGGTACAACTACTATGAAAAAGAGTATGGAATTTTCTCAGAAAACTAAAAGTGGATCTGCCTTTTGGCCCAGCCATTCCACTGCTAGGATTATATCCTGAACACTGAAACACCAATCCAAAAGAACTTATGCACCCCAATGTTCATATTAGCACAATTTACAATAGTCAAGTGCTGGAAGAAACCTAGGTGTCCATCAGTAAATGAATGGACCCAAAAACTATGGTACATTTACACAATGGAAATCTGTGCAGCAGAAAGAAAGATGGAGCTCCTGCCCTTTGCAACAGCATGGATGGAACTGGAAAGCATTATGCTGAGTGAAATAAGCCAGGCAGTGAAAGACAAATATCATATGGTCTCACCTTTAACAGGAACCTAAACAACAAAAGGAACAAGCAAGCAAATATAACTGAAGACACTGAAATGGAGACCAGGCTGACAAGGACCAAAGGAGAGAGGCAGGAAATTTCAGGAGAAAAGGGGAAGTGTTTACAGGAACTGTTAAAGGACACATGGACAAAAACTAAGGGGGGTGGTAACGGGAGGGAGATGGGGAGCACTGGGGCAAGTGAGCTGGGGTGGCAGTAAAAGAAAGAAAACTGT